AATATTAACTTGGCTACATTTTACAAGGTCAAGATTTTAATTTAATTTTCCTCAACAATTATTTACTGGAATTTGGACAAATTTATTTATCGAAGTCTTGAACAATTTATTTTAATAATAGATTTTGTTTTAATAATTTTATAATTTTAATTTACTAATTTATAATTTATTTTAAATTTCGAAGATTGATAAATTTCAATTTTAGCTTTCAGAATTATTTTACAGATTTAATTTTATTTATAAATTTCAATATTCACTTTTAGAGTAATTTTAGTACTGAGATTACATTTTATTTATTAATTTAATTTTAGCTTAATTAATATTTGGTGTTGATTTTAATTTTCTTATGATTTATTTTAAAATTTATTTCACGGATTTTACTTTTGCACTTAACCACTAATTTGATTTTAAATCAATTCTAATTTTATAAATTATATTTTAATTATCAAATTTATCAGATCCCAGAAAATTATAACTATAAAGGTTCAGGTTTATATAGATCTATTAATTTAATTGTTGTGTTAATTAATTTTTTCAATTCAGCAACGTTTCATCACGTATCGTGACTTTCTCAGGCATCTAATAACAAACATACATAATATAAATTATATCAAAATCATTTACAACAGAATTTTATAACCAAAATAATTAATAAAACATAATAAAATTATAATCAAAATACCTTGAAATTAACTAATTATTTAAGGGGGTATTCTGGTCTAGAAGCCTAAATTTTAGGCATTTTTCAAACTAACATAAAAAAAAATAAAAAACATTTTCATTATCCGTTTTTTTATATGATGTTTATTGACATTTCAAGAATATAAAAAAAAATTTAAAAAAAAAATGATAAATTTGACAAATTACAGGCCGGTGAAGTGAGGGCTACAAAAAAAACGGTGCACTCTGGTTGACATGATTCCAGCCCTTGTAGTGATATCAAACAAAAAAAATTGACAAATTCTCAATCTGTAAATATGTCACTATCGCGTTGACTATAGCAAAAAAAAAAAAAATCACAAAATGGCGTCGACATAAAATATCAATTTATTTTTTTTACCCTTTTTTATGACCTTTTCGAATTTTTTAAAAATACTCCAAAATGAAATTTTTTGAAATCCATAGCAGACGCGAACTTAAGATATCATGTCAACCACTTTAAAAAAAGTAGTTTCGAGAAAATCGCGCTTAAAGTTTGAGAAACAATTTCAGTAAAATGACTCACAATAATATTTAATATTCACTTTGGATTAATCGCGAATCCCAGATCCGTAAATTGAGCCTTCTTCTACTTCCTACTCGATGTTTTGCGAAGTTCTTTCTGCTAATCGAGCTATTCTGCCTTCTATTGAAGAAGCAGAAGCAGAAGAAGCTGCATTATAAAATCCACTGTATCTCCGAAAATAATTCGAATTTTGAAAAATCCACTCAAGGACATATTTTTAAGGGTCTAAAATTTGGAAATATGCAAAAAAAAAATTCGAATTTTTTAAATTTCTAGACAAGAATACCGCCTTAATAAAGAATCGAAAAAAAAAAGGTGTGTGTGCGATTCACACACGATAGAAGTGAAACTTCAGTAAATCGACAAAATAATGAGATGAATATATATAACAAGGGTAGGATAATTACAAAGTTTTTTTGTTTAAAAATGAAAGTATTTTGATTAATTTCAAAGATGGGGTAGAACTTAGGATATCATGTCAACCACTTTAAAAAAAGTAGTTTCGAGAAAATCGCGTTTAAAGTTTGAGAAACAATTTCAGTAAAATGACTCACAATAATATTTAATATTCACTTTGGATTAATCGCGAATCCCAGATCCATAAATTGGGCCTTCTTCTACTTCCTACTCGACGTTTTACGAAGTTCTTTCTGCTAATCGAGCTGTTCTGCCTTCTATTGAAGAAGCAGAAGCAGAATCAGCTGCGTCACAAAATCCACTGTATCTCCGAAAATAATTCGAATTTTGAAAAATCCACTTAAGGACATATTTTTAAGGGTCTAAAATTTGGAAATATGCAAAAAAAAAATCGAATTTTTTAAATTTCTAGACCAGAATACCCCCTTAACACAACTGTTGTTTAGTGAACAGGCCCACTCAGTGAGCAATACGTCACTGTGGGCTCCTCAAACTCACAACACGCACCTGACAAGCGCTCGTTCCCGCGAATTCTCACCCGCTTGCGCAAACCGACTTCTCGATCACGCCACATGTATCGAATTTTACTATTGGCTATCGATGTCGACATCAATAGAACGAATTCATTGATTGGATGATCGCTCTCGCTGGACATGCGCAATAGCCTTCTTCCCCAAGTCTACGAGGAAGAAGACGAACTATTATAATTATCTTTCGCATCCATCTTTCGTACTATCAAGTCGCTTTTTGCTTACTTAAAATTTCGCTTTTTTAAATAACCGCTTTCGCTTCCTAACTAATTTTCTTTGCTTAATTTGATTGCATTTAATTTATTTAGTTTGTTTCAGATAACTTATAACACCGGCACACAAAAAAAAAAGTGGAATGTATATTGGACTGGACCTACCTACCGACATGTATTTCGACCCGCTGAATCCGAATTTCAAGTTCGTTTGGCCCGGTCACCCTCCAGTTTTGAGTAAAATGCAAAAAACCTCAAAAAAGGGCAAAAAACTGCAGTCACAGCAATAAAAAAATTTTTGTGGACCCGGATTACGTATGATTTTTATGTATTTCAATTTACTGAATTTAAATCTAAAAGTTACTTAGCCCGATGAGCCGTTCAAATTTGAAAAATAACGAAAAACCCAAAAAAAATTGCAAAAAATCATGAAAAATTGATGTTTTCGAATTAAAATTTGTTTTAGACTCGGATTGAGTATGATTTTCATATTTTTTGTTCCGCTGAGTTTAAATCTGAAGTTTTCTTTCCCCGCTAACGTTTTAAAATTAAAAAAATTCTCAAAAAACCAAAAAAATCGGGTAAATTGCAGTTACAAATATGAAAAAAAAATCTATAAAGTATGATTAAATACTTTTTTTGTATTTTTTCACGCATAAAATACAAGTTGAGAATTTGGAACTATGAAAAATTGTAATTTCTATAAAAAATGACGTATAACTAGAATAAAAAAAACGATTTTCTCGAATTTCAAAATGTTCTTCGTTGGTATCGAACTCTTTTATTCTCAAGCGATCTACGCAGTGAATTTTTTTCCGTTTGTTATTATCTCTTGGTGTATCCCTTTTAAGTATCCAGCAAAAATCTGCCATCGTATTAATATTCCAATTTCTTTGATACCTAGTCTCCATTTCACTTATGTCTTGATGGAATTATTCTTCCTGTTTTTCATTGTAGTCTCTAAGATTTTCAGGAAAGTGGTCAATGTGAGAATCCATGAAGTGTAGTTTGAGGTTCATTAAGAAAACTTAATTTTTGTAATTTGTCACCAATTTTTCTACTAACGTCCTGTTATTTTCGTTTCTTTGATTTCCTAAAAAGTTTTGAGACACATTTTTGAAACTTACCCAAGCTGCTCTCTCTGTCTCGTTCATTTACTCTATAAAATTTGGATACTGAAATAGAGTTCGAATTCGGGATCCATCAAAAATTCCTTCTTTTGATTTTGCATCACTTATCGCAGAAAATTTTCCTTTCAAATACTGGAAACAATAGTAGTACACATAGTAGTGGTTCACTGGACACTTGAAAGGGATACACCAAGAGATAATAACAAGCGGAAGGAAAATCCACTGCGTAGATCGTTTGAGAACAAAAGAATTCGATACCAACGAAGAACATTTTGAAATTCGAGAAAATCGTTCACTTTATTCTAATTATACGTCATTTTTTATAGAAATTACAATTTTTCATATTTTCAGATTCTTAACTTGTATTTTATGCGTGAAAAAATACAAGAAAAGTATTCAATCATATTTTACAGATTTTTTTTTCATATTTGTAACTGCAATTTTCCCAATTTTTTTGGTTTTTTGAGATTTTTTTCAATTTTAAAACGATAGCGGGGAAAGAAAACTTCAGATTCAAACTCAGCGGAACAACTACATGAAAATCATACTCAATCCGAGTCTAAAACGAATTTTATTTCGAAAACTTCAATTTTTCATGATTTTTTGCAATTTTTTTTGGGTTTTTCGTTATTTTTCAAATTTGAACGGCTCATCGGGCTAAGTAACTTTTAGATTTAAATTCAGTAAATTGAAATACATAAAAATCATACGTGATCCGGGTCCACAAAAATTTTTTTATTGCTGTGACTGCAGTTTTTTGCCCTTTTTTGAGGTTTTTTGCATTTTACTCAAAACTGGAGGGTGACCGGGCCAAACGGACTTGAAATTCGGATTCAGCGGGTCAAAATACATGTCGGTAGGTAGGTCCAGTCCAAAGTACATTCCACTTTTTTTTTTGTGTGCCGGTGTAATTATTTGTGCAGTAATTATCGCATTTTACAGTGCCGGCAGTTTATTCAACCACGTGCTAACCGGCTTCGCTTTGATAACCACGCTGTGTATTAAACATCCGCTTTTATTTATACAATCCGCTATTGAACCAGTAAAATATTTAGTGTATTTATTGTTAATAAATCTCTAGTGTTATTTTTAATAATAATTTTTTATTTTAATTAAGATATCCAGATCTAAACCTGATCCCCGCTTTTCCGCTCTTTCAGCATTTTACAACTGTCAAACCAAAATATTTAGCATTACTTTCGGCTAGGTTAGCCATTCGGCTTGTCGTACAAATTTTAAAACAATTATTTAACATGACATATATATTTCAATATAATTATTATTTGTAAGAACAATAATTATTAATCACTTATTTTATATGACTCAATTTCTTATTATAGTTAACAATATACAAATTATTAATAATTTTAATCACAATCAACATATGAGTCGTATGTCAGTCACCCATGCGTCTACATACAGTATATTACTACGAGCTAATTTACTATAGTCTGAATTACTTAATACGATGGTACCAACTTAGTTTCTATGTTGGCTGCAGTGTGATTTGAACTTACATAGTAAATTAGAATAAATATTACTCAAATTTTCTACATCAGTTCTAAAATTAACTTTGTTATTTATTGATATGTAAATCATCTCACTTAGGCAACGTGTAAATTTTACCCTCTCTCTGTCCAGTATTTTAGTCCTCTCAAAATCAAACTTATGTCCAGTATCCACATAATGTACACATAAAGCCGTTTTTTCTTTTAACTTGCCAGCATTATTACAACTATAACGATGTTGATATATCCTGTTCCCCAAATACTGACTGGTCTGGCCTATGTATGACTGTCCGCAGTCACACGGAATTTTATACACCACGTTGGACACCTTCATTTCGTCATCCTTATCTTTTAATTTTGAAAACACTTGACTCACTGTCTTTATATAGTAGAATGCAGGTTTCCACTCCGTACCCAGAAAACACCGAGTAATTGAATCTGAAAGACCCTTGATATACGGGAATCTAAACCTATTCTCTTCACAGTGGTTACAGTTACTTCTATGCGCACCTCCCATCTCGCCGTTATCCTCCATGTCGATGTCATTAGAATGCATACTCTTGAATTTATTAATGCATTTTTTAATAAAAAATTTTGGGAAATTATTTAATTTAAGTAATTTCTCAACCTTCACCAAATTTTCCTCATGGAAGGATCTATGGCTTAATTTCATTGCTCTATATTCTACCATCCTCAGTTCTCATTACGACCATGTCTAAGAAGGGAATTTGTCCCGCTTTTTCACATTCTAATGTGAACTGGATATTTGCATGGAATCTATTAAAATACAATAACAAATTGTCTTTCTCATTTTCTGGTACCGCTAACAACGTGTCATCTACATATAAATACAACGGCGGGACAGCAAAAGGTAGTGAACTGATAACATTCGTCCATACATAATACATGACTATATTAGCTAGTGATGGGCTAGCAGGATTGCCCATACTAGTGCCATCTAACTGCAAGTAGACTTCTTTCTTGAATGTGAAGTAGCTAGTATCAAAGCATATGCTGATCATCTTCAATATCACTTCCTTAGGTAACTCAAGCAATTCCTTGAAATCATCCCACTTAACCGATATTATCTCCATCACTAAGTCTTTAGGAATCATTGTAAACAACGATACGACATCCAAAGAAACTAAAATGTAGCCAGCTGGCAATATTACTGAGCTAAGCTTATTCACCAACGAAGACGAATTCTTAACATTCATCTCAAACGTATCAATAAGCGGTATTAGTAGTCTATGCAGATGCCTTGCTAAATTATAACACGGAGAATTTATGCAAGACTGCATTCTACAATATAAAGACAGTGAGTCAAGTGTTTTCAAAATTAAAAGATAAGGATGACGAAATGAAGGTGTTCAACGTGGTGAATAAAATTCCGTGTGATTGCGGACAGTCATACATAGGCCAGACCAGTCAGTATTTGGGGAACAGGATATATCAACATCGTTATAGTTGTAATAATGCTGGCAAGTTGAAAGAAAAAACGGCTTTGTGTGTACATTATGTGGATACTGGACATAAGTTTGACTTTGAGAGGACTAAAATACTGGACAGAGAGAGGGTAAAATTTACACGTTGCCTAAGTGAGATGATTTACATATCAATAAATAACAAAGTTAATTTTAGAACTGATGTAGAAAATTTGAGTAATATTTATTCTAATTTACTATGTAAGTTCAAATCACATATATTTTTAATATATCCAATATATAGATTATTTCCATGTGGGAATTTGCTCTCAGCTGCCGATGAAGGATCGATCGACAACGATGGTAAAAATTTTCGCTCCTTAATTAAAATGCTGCATGACAAATTCAATTATAAAGAAACGGATAAGTCTTTAAAAATACAAATTTTAACATTATTACCTGAAAAATGGAGTGAAAGACGCATTTGTGAAACTATGAATACATCACAACTGTCCAGGGGTAGATGAGTTGAGTAACATTCTACTAACATATATGAATTAGAATTTTGGCCTATTTTCGGACGAAGACTAGTGTTTTTCTAATTTAAGTCTAAAGATGGATTTTTCATCTTTCCTTTTGATCTAGAGCTATATTCTCTCTTCAAAGTAGTTCGATGGGTATCCATAAAACTTAAATACTAGTAAAGCTGGAAGCTTGTAGTATCTGTTCGAGTTATGAGGATGTTAATTAAGTGAAAGATAGTGAAAGAAAATTGAATGAGAGCAAAGATAGACTTTGAAAAAATAAATGGGGTTGGTTACCAAGCCAGGAATCGAACCTGGATCTCCCCCTCTCCCTGTAACCGCCAGACAGTGTGCCACTGAAATAAAGGAGACCAATCCCCAGAGTAGTCACCAATCGACAGAAGCCAACAACATCTAGGACTTCGACTTGAAGTAGTGAAATAGATCGTCGTATATTCAAAAGGTATCGATAATTACTCTGTCGGCTAGACGTGGACCGCGGGGTTTATACTCAGTTTACTTCTCCTCTGATTAATTGTTCATTAATTATTAATTGGTAATAATTCAATAATTATTTAAATTCATTTGTTCGTTAGTTGGTGTTGAGCGTCCCTCAAGGGGGTTTATGCCCGAGGGCTGCTCAAGGACCTTGTGGTGTTAATTGTCGTGAGAATTCATTTTATTAATTTACTCGATTAATTATAAATAATTCTTAACATCTGAAAAATCGGTTTAGTTGCAACTATTTTATTTAATAATATAAAACCGAAAAATCAAATCTCGAGAAAATTCTAATTGTCTTCTTGCGGACTAGTCAAGCGTCGGTTGAATTTTGTACAACGCAGTTAACTCGTACTCAAGGTCAAAAGTTACTACGCACTAACGAATATCGGCGTCCATTTTGAGCGCGAAAATTCTTTTCGATCATTTTACTCGAGAATTTATTAAGAACAATTGAATTATTATTATTTAATATTATTTATTACGAGAAAATATTATTTATTTAACATTGTATTATTTATTGAGAATTGATTTACTGAGATTTTGGCGCATTTAATATTAATTTACCCGTGGATAATTTTTCGTTAATTTATTTTCATATTGAGATAAAGTGTTTATTAATTATTTATTTAATCGGAAAATTCCACGTGGTCATTTTTATATTCCCTGTTTGAAAATATTCATTGAAAAAAATTCGCTCTATGCAAATTATATATCTATATATATTGTTATGTCCGAAATAATAATAAATAATTTTATATAGCGTAGTTCCGAGAGATAAAGAGGCTCGAACACAACACATTGATTTTTCCTTACAGAAATCTGTAAGGATTTTATATTTTTGTGAATTCGCGAACACAACCCGGATGGGCTCTTGAACTGTTGACAGGAAAGATGATGTAAATTTGGAGGAAATTGGACACTTACATTAATAAAATTAAAAAAATCAATAATTCGTGTTTTCACTGTTATATTGTACTTAATACACAATTTCACTTAGTTCTAATTTAACAAAATAAAGAGTTCGGAACCGGAGTAGAGACTTCAGCAAACAATCACTATGTTCGCCGTTAAAATATAAATTTATAAATTTTGATGAGGAACCGTATCACTCAATACAACGGGGCTCTTGATACAAACTCAAGGGCGCTCTAACGCGTAAGGAGAAAATACAAATTTAGGAAATCAAAAGGGTAGTTGGGAGAAATTTAAAGCCGATACGTGTGGAGGTATCGAACCCACTCGGGTTCAACAAGAATAACTGCTTCTTGCTTCAATTTGAACCGAACTGAACGCCGGTCTGCTCTTTTTCAGAGTTTTTAAAGACTTGGTAAATCGCGACTTCGGAAGGGAGTCTGATTTTCTGATTGGTCAGGAAGGTAATTTTTAGTAAGACTTGGCGGCGTCTAAACCGCGTAGCGTCTGTAATGAGTGAAGCGGTTCCAAATTTTGCAAGCACTACACTTTGCAGCGCGAAAAAGGAGACCCTAGCTTATATCATGCAACGCTGAAAATTGAAATCATTTAGAATTATTGAAAAAAATTTTAATCTCATGACAGTGAATTTATTTCAATGAATATTTTTAAACAGGGTTGAACTTAAGTTCTGGAAAATTTATTTATTAATTTATTATCCCTAGTGAAGACGTTATTGTTAAATACATAAGCCGGCTGCCTAACAAACTATCGGCGGGAATCGACGGCATACCATGCATCATAGTGAAAGATGCATCCGCGCAATTTGCGAAGCCACTAACGCGGCTTATTGAATGCAGCATCAAGCACGGGATTTTTCCAACGAAATGGAGAACTACGAAAGTATGTCCTATACACAAAGCTGATGATCCTGCGGCAATTACCAATTACAGACCCATCTCATTAATCTCGGTGTTCGCAAAGGTTTTTGAGATGTACATCTATGATCAACTATTGCCGTATTTCAGCGTGACCATTAGCGATGCTCAACATGGCTTCTATTGCCGTCGCTCTACGGTAACTAACCTTGTATATTACACAGAATACATTAATAATAGCATTAATAATTGAGACCAGGTTGACGCAATACACACGGACTTCGCAAAGGCATTTGATAAAATTGACATAATCATATTAATATATAGGCTCAGGGACCTTGGAATACCCAACTACCTACTTACTCTGTTAATCTCGTATCTCACAAACAGATGTAATTACGTCATATTTAAGGAATACCGATCTATACCATTCAGATCAACATCTGGAGTCCCGCAAGGCTCGAATTTAGGGCCATTACTGTTCCTGATATTTATTAATCCTCTCGAAAGCGTTATATCGTGTCCCTTTGAGTTGTTTGCAGATGACGCCAAGCTTTATCATAGAATAGGATCGTGGACAGACTGCATTATATTACAGAATAACTTAAATGCACTGGCGACCTGGTGTAAAATAAATAAAATGCAGCTGAACGAGCGCAAATGCATGGTCATATCTTTTAGTAAATCCCAGGCTGACATTCAATATCCCTACTCTTTTAATGGAATCGCTCTTAATTATGTATCATCGTGTAGGGATCTTGGAGTTATCTTTGATAATCATTTAACATTTACCAACCACTACACTACCATAGCTGCGTCAGAACTCAAGACCTTGGGATTTGTAATTAGGATAACAAAAAATTTTAAGAATCTTGCAATAATTAAGGCCCTGTACTCAGCCCTTGTCCGCCCTAAATTAGAATATGCGTCAGTTATCTGGTCACCGACCTATAAAAAGCATATGCAAACCATCGAAATAATACAACGTAAATTCGCGAAATATTTCATATACAAAAAGACTGGTGATTATCCGGCTCGCGGGACCGATTATCTCGAGTTATGTAGGCCACGAATATGCTGACTCTAGAAGAGAGAAGAAATTGCGCTGCAGTACTATTTGTAGTAGGAGTTTGTAGGAGTCTCATCCACTGCCCAAAATTCCTGTCCCTACTCCCATTTAAAATCCCTTCGCGTAACCTCAGATCCTCGAATTCCTTTCAACTCCCTCTGGTGAGATCGGCTTTGGCGCAGGCATCACGATTGTACAGACTTTTAGCGATATGTAATTTCGTTGTTGCTAAGAGTATTGATGAAGGGTATGATTTTGACCTATTCGGGTACAACCAACCGCTTACCGCTAGCTCTCTTGTGTCTCTAATTCTGAGATTACGTAATACTATCGCTTAACTATAAAATTTAATATCTAATCTA